CCATGCCTTCAGGGAATAATGACATAATCGCTCACATGTCCTCTACATGGGCCCCTCAAGGGGACCAGAATGTTGAGAATGCCCGAGAAAAAGAGAAACCTCCACCTATCCCATGGGCATCCCCCTGCAAATGGAAGTTCCCCCCGTCGCAGGTCAGTCCTGAACTCCAAAGCTTCGGCAAGCCCGGAGGAAGTTGCTGATGTTTTCCCCTGGAATTTCCGAGAGCCAGGATCCAGACTTGCGTCTGAGGGTTGTGCGGTGACATAGGTTCTCTGCATTTTTGGATACATGAAATTACGGCATGGACATCCCCTAGCAGAATCTCGCGGGACCAAAGCCTACCGTGCACGCGGATAGTTACGGATAGTTATGCTTCGAAAAGCTTCTGCCACCAACCCCTGCTCAGTATCTAGGTCTGCTGTTGCGGCAGCACGGCTGATTTTTAAGAATTGAGAAAACCGTACATCCGCACACAAACGCAGAAGTCTGGCTCTCTTCTGACTGTGTGTCGCCAATGCAGTTGAAGGCAGAGGCCAATGCCAGCTAAGCCGGCTCCAAATGCTCCCTACTTCTCCCTACTTGTCCCTTGCTCTCTGCTTTTCCACTCTAGCAGAGAATGCTCCTTGAACATCTTTGGTAGCCCAAGAAAAGTCATGACAACAGCCCCACAATCCATCTCAGATAGCTTTGACTGGGTCCCACACGTTCTTTAAACGGCATGCCGGGAGGGTTCACCTGCACTCGCACCCGGCAAGCCAGCAGCAAACACTGTCAGCATGGCCAGCGGAACAAGTCTCAACACGACGGTAGGCAACCACCAAAGCACGTTTCATCCTGAAGCAGCCACAGAACATATCCGAAGTCTGAGGGCAAACATTCAAACACATTCAGGGCAGATTGCACACATTGGGCACGGAGGCTGCAGTACTGTAGCAGCCATGCTGCCGGGCTGGGCTTGCAGTGATCTTGGCTTCTGGCAGGGTCTGGGAGAGGTGGTTGCAATTTCGATTAATCGGTTGAGAGCTGCCACAAATGCAGGAAGATCATAGCCGGTGAGATGGCCGCCATAAGCACGGCTGGTGGCATGCGAGTACTGTTAGCGTCACGGCCTCCGGCTGCTGCCTTGCGAATCCTTACACGATGCTACCAAAGGCGGCAAACGAGTAATGCACCCAAGCTGATACAGGCCGCCCCTGGCAACACACGCAACTTATAGCCAATAAACCCACATACCTGTGAGTGTGCACGGTGGCTCCCAATCCTGCCCCATGCCTTCGCTATGGTACCCGGCTGGATGCAGTTCACAAGTTCACAAAGGACAGCACCCGAGCCTAGGTTCCGGTCGTGTGATGTCACTTTGCTTGGGATACGGGCAGGACATGATTTCATGATTGGTTGTGGGAGAGCTGAAGGCAATCGCACCTGCAATCCTGCGTGGTACCTCGACATAGGAACGAGTTCCCCGACCTGTGTTAGCATGCAATTTGGATAAATTCTGCAGGGGATGTGTTATTGGCATTAACAGCATAGGCTCGCTTCATGAGCTTCCGACCTTCCTTCAATAGCCAGGGCCAAGATCAGCTTACTGTACCAGATGTCTTCGCTCTGCCCTACATGTAGAATGTAGAAGAACTCCACACGCCTTGCTGCTCAGAATGCAGTTTGACCACTGCTTCCCTCTAGGTGCAGGACGCAAGGTACCAGCAAAGTCGTTCACCACGGCATGGCCGGTGACCGCCTGCTTCTTCGCTACGGCTATTCAAGTAGGCGTCCCTCAGACGGACCTGTGCCTGGACTTGAGTTCACGGCATGAAGTATGTTCAAGGGGCTGAGCAAAATAGCAGATGCAGGTTGAGTGTCAGGATCCCTGGTAAGAAGCCATTCAGACCCCAACACACCTACACTGAGCATCGCACACACACACACACAACGTGTGAAACAAGCTATGGGGCTCCTGGATCCATGCGGCAGCTTGCTCCTCCGCTGCCGGGCTGTACTTGGCGGCTGCCTGCGTCACGGGCACTGTGAAAACCTTTGGCATCATTCCACGTGACCTCTGACAAGTTTTCCAATGAAGCCTTTGGGTGGATAACTTGCCCATGCGCCCGGGTAGTTATTACAAAGTTCCCACATCTTCAAAACTCAACGGAAGCACCCCCAATCCCCCCCCAATCCCTCCATGTTCCCGCTCTCTTTTTTGAAGCTTGGCCACGTTGCCTTGGCCTTCAGCTCTGCATCGAGCCCATAGCAGGGAAGGTCCTAACAGTGGGAGTCAGCCAGATTGTTCTGCATGTGCGAAGTTCCAGTTGCACTACTTCCACAAACCCTCACATAAAAACATCACAGCGCAGATTTACACAATTGACTGCTTAGATGACACGCGCTCCGGGACTTGGGGTACGTACTCAATAGCTGCAATGCGGAGTATCATGGCTACAGCAAGGGAAATAACAAAACATGTCAACATAGTACCAACCAGATCTCTGAAACAAAGTTCTCGAGAATAACAGGAGGCAGCGGTGGTGTTGGTGGTCGTGGTGGTACGGGCGGCAGCAGAAGACGCGGCAATGGCGGCGATCGCGGCAGCGGCGGTGTGTTGTGCGGGCGGTGGCAGTGGTTGAGGCTGTGTTTCTGCTGATGCGCTGGTGGTAGCATCTGGTGGTGGTGGTGGTGGTGGTGGTGGTGGTGGTGGTGGTGGTTTTGGTGGTGGTGGTGGTGGTGGTGGTGGTGGTGGTGGTGGTGGTGGTGGTGGGGGTGGCGGTGGCGGCGGCGGCGGCGGTGGCGGTGGCGGTGGCGGCGGCGGCGGCGGTGGTGGTGG